GGAGATAAAGGTACTTGACCCTTCAATGTAATGTGTAATCTGGATAGGATCTTGGAATAGAAAAAATGCTATACATTGATAAAATTTGAATAAGATCTGTAGATTAGATACTAGGATTGCATTAGTGGTAAAATTTCTATGGCTAGATAAGTGATTCCTCAGCCCCCAAGTTGCAGTGGTTACAGAACCCAGTTGCTACAATGGTGGTTCCAACCCACCAGCAGGTCCGTGGGAGAGAGACGGACAGTTTGCGTCCATAAAGATTTACAACTTTGAAAACCTATGGACGGGTTCTGGTGGCCCAGTGGCTAAGTGCTTACCTGCTAGCTTACAAGGTCAGTGGCTTGGACCCACCAGCTACTCTGTGAGAGAAAGATGTGGCAGCTTAAAAGAAAGATTTATTGTTGAGTGCAGTTGAGTTGGTTTGGATTCATAATGACCCTGTAGAGCATTTCCAAGGAGTGACCTTGTAGTTAGCATTCTGTGCTTATCTTACAATGACAATCAGGACTTTTGAAAGTGGTTTAACCAAAATAAAATATTAAGTTATATTTTATTTGACTTATACAGAATAAAAAGAGCCCTGATAGCATAGTGGGTTACAAGTTGTGCTGCAAACCTCAAGGTCAGAAGTTTGAATCTACCAATCTGTCCTGATGTGGCGCTTTGGGTTAATGTGCTGGACTGCAAAGTCCTTTCAGTTGCAAGGCCGGTGGTTCAAGCTCACCAGCCGCTCCTCGGAAACCCTACTCAGGTTCGCTATGGGTCAGAACTGACTTGACGGCACTTAACAACAACATCCACTCTGTGGGAGAAAGATGAAGCTCCCATAAAGATTTATGGCCTCAGAAACCCTATACAGGGTCGCAATGAGTGCAACTGTCTTCACAGCACACAACCACCAGCGCCACCACACCATACAGAATAAACTAGGTCAGAGGGCAGAGGAATTATTGAACATCAAATGTGTAATGGTTCAGGAGCTGACCTCTGTTTACAGTTAAATAATACGAGGTAACTTGAACTTGTATTCTTATCTCTGGCACTTCTGATAAAGATTATTTTTAGAAAGACTGTCCACTGGCCACAGTTTGTTTCATTGAGAGATTTGCTGAATAACTTGTTCTTCCCTTTCCCTCTAGACTTAAAAAGACATAAAAAGATACATTGCTAAATAATGAAACTCTTGCACAGCTAAATGTTGGCCAATAAGTACTTGGATTGAATAATACACTTGGAGCAATATTGAAATACATACAGAGAAAGAGGGTAATTCCATAGAGACAATATCTTGGCTCAGATTCTAATAATAATTAAACCCTTTTGAAAGATGGCGAAGAAAGGTTAAATCACAGAGACCTGACTACTAAAGTAGATGATCTAATGGTCATTCAAGAAATTATTTTATTGCTCTGATTCAAATGGTATTTAGGTATTTGCTTTGCATGTATGTCAACGAGAATAAAATAATTGAAATTTAGCTGCTGGATGGTATAAATGATCAATAGATTTGATTGGGAACTTAAAGGTTGGTGACTCACGTTCACCTGGTACTTTGGAAGAAAGACCTGAACATCTACTTTTGAAAAATACACCATTGAAAACCCTGTGGAGCACAGTTCTACTCTAACCCATATGAAGTTGCCAAGAGCTGATTAGATATGCAGGTGTTGGTGGTGCTAGAAGGAAGCTAAAAATGTTCCCATCTCCTCATTTTATAGTTGTGGAAACCAAGTTAAGTTACTTACTGATACCCATGGCCCTGGAGCTGCTGGTTGTCATGACCAGAACTTGACTTTGAACTCCAGGTCCTCTTTTCTTTCTCCACCATTACATCATGGTACTTCTCCTTCAAAGAACAGAAATACTACAACTCCACCTATAGTTACACATATAAATTCTCTAGGGAATAGTCAATGGCACTTTGTAGTCTAAGACCAATCTGTAGCACTCTCCATTTTCCTCCCTGATTGTCTAGTAAACTTGAAAGTGAGAAAATTAAGAGTGGATCATCTCTCAGTGAATTTAGCATTGAGCTTCATAGGGCTTTCTTTGTTGTAATCTTTACAGAAGTAGATAGCAGACCTTTCTTTCTTATGTGGGGCTTCTGGATAGATTCCAGTTGTCAACCTTTATATTAGCAGCTGATCACAAACCATTTGCTCATCCAGGCTTCTACTAGGAAAATAAGAGATTACTACTTGTACATTAAAAAAAAAAAATTTTTTTTTAAATCTAAAAGCTGTGCTTCCTTAACTTTTCATTTCTTTTTTTTTTTTTTTATCTCACTTTTAATTTTCTTTTAACTGATGGGCTGGTCAAAATTGAAATGAATATAGGATGATTGCTCTTCTTTATCCTAGACTTCTATATTACCTGACTCTAGGACTCAGGAAAGTTTTAGTAAATGACTTGTTATGAAGAATTTTTACCTAAACCATCCTCTTCAATTGATTATTGATCTCTAGAGAGAACTTTGAATTGTTAAAATGAAGAATTTTTCCCTCTGTCACAAATAAATACAAGACAGCGTTTTCTAAAAATGGCCATGAACTGAGCAGAAGTAAAATCCTTCTTGTAGGAGCCTAAAAACTAAAATTTATTTCAGGTTTGAGAAGAATAAATAAAAATAAAATACATTTGAGGTGAGATTGTGCATACAAAAATGGATTGGAGGCCTATTGCTTGCCTTTGACTTGTCCTCTCCAGTGCACACTATAGTATTAAGTGTGTTGTTGTTATGTGCCGTGGAGTCGGTTCTGAGTACTATTGAGTAGAAGTACCCAAAGAACACCAAGTTCGAGGACAAGAATCAGGCAATTTTTCTGTAAGGAGTAAATTGCTTGTGTCACACATACTAGAGGAACAAATAGATAATGTTACATTTTTAATTGTTCTTAGTTGCTATGGAGTCAATTCTAACTCATGCTGACCCAGTGTGTGCAGAGTAGGGTTCTCAAGGTTGTGATCATTTAGAAGCAGATCACCAGGACTTTCTTCCAAGGTACCTATGTTATCCTTACTTAGAATCGGATGACAATAGTAATTTTTTTCAATTTACAGAAATGTATGCTGCTTTAAAATTTTTGAATTGTTTTCTTTATTGAAAATCTAATAATAGTATTAATAGGAAAATATGACACATCACTTAGAGATAATAACTTAATATTTTCTTCATGACATTTCCCCTATGTTTGTATATTTTATATTTAGGTCCTGCTTCCCACCCCCTCCCCTTTTCTCACTTATTGAAGTTTTTACTCATGTAATTTTATAAGCAGTTGTTAATGGATGCATTATATCTCATTGTCTAAATTAATTATAAAGAAGAATGTTCCAGATTGTAATCATTTCAATTAAATAAAATATGATAGGATGAGTGCAAAACTGATGTTCACCCATATAAACTATCACTCAATTCACAATTAAAAGCTTAAAAAAAAAAAGAAGAGTGCTCCAATGAACACATTTCTGATTTCTTCTGATTCCTAGAATTGGGATTATCAAATCAATGGCAACACTATGTTAGTTTCTACAAACCAAAGTTGATTTTAGTTACACATTCGTACCATATAATTGTGAGAGAGAGCACTTGTGTCATTTCCATCATTGAACTTTATCATTAAAACAAAAATGTTGCTGATTTAATAATACAAATGGACCACATTCTTTGATTACTAGTGAAAATGTTTTGATATATTTATTAACTATATTGCTGCAATGCAGTCAATTCATGAATTCAGTTTGCTTACTTTTTTTTTTTTTTAAGTTTTATTTATTTAAATGTTTTATTGTGAATTATGTGACAGTTTACATGGGAGAACATTAGTTTTACATTCATCCTATAGTATATCGTTTCATTGCCATGGTTACAATGCCCTCCAGGTATCATCAACCAACCAAAGGGTATATACCCTGCAAGCCTATTCCCCCCTGGCATCAGCACACAGCCCCTCTCCCTCTCTTGTGTCTAAAGTCCCCAACTGCTCCATCTCTCCAGGTCATCGTCTCTGCCTCAATCTCAGGCATCACTGCGTCTCTGGATAAGGTCTCGCTCTCTGCTCTTCTCCCTTGATGGTCCTAGGGACCTCCGCTCCTAGACTGAAAAGTTAATCACTCCCCTCCTTGCTATAAAACATCTACCTTTACATTTCCAACCCTCACAATCAGTCCTGATAACAATTATTCACTATTGTATCACAAGAGACCTATCTGCATTTCATTTCATCAGCCCTGCCTAGACAGATTGGGTACTACTCAGGGGAGATTCTACCTTCCTCCAGGCCCTCTGGATCTAGGTTCCCTCTTGAAAGCTTGTAAGCCAGTCACTTCTTGCCTTTGTAGCCCCATTTTGGGTAGCCAATGTCCAAGTTGCCCATCCCTGTCTACTCTGTATATGGAGGGGGTGGGAATGATCCTTGCTGTAAGGATTTGTTCCCTCTTTTGAGCTACTGTATCCATAGGTGTAGGTCAAGTTCATCAAATTGTATTAGATTACTCTTTTTTCCTTTGCTTACTGTTTTGTAGTTTGTTTGTTTTTTAAGCTAAATATTTTTTATATATTAAAAACATCAGCATTTTGACTCTGTAGTAAATATTTTTTCCCATTTTTATTGCTTTTTGATGTTATGGTTTTTACTGGGGATAGAACAGAAGTCTTTATTTTTACATTGTGTAGATTTTCATTTGAAATTTATTTCTGTGAGTTCTTTCATTAATTGTTTATAAAGAGAAAATATAAACAAGAGGGTTACTGATGATGATAATTGCTCCACAATTAATGAAAATAATTAGTTGTGTAGAGGTTATTTTATGTAGATTCATTGATTTCACCCTGAAGGCTGAGGTTATTTGTCTGTTATTTTTGAAATCTGTTCCATGTCCCCGTTAAATTTGTTTTACTTATCGTTGGTATTCTGCACAAGTCTTAAAGCTGTTCTTTTGGCCAGCTGCTTTTCTATGCATTGGCATTATCTCATGTCTTCATACTTTCTTTTAAGGTATTATCCAAAGAGATGAGTCTCCCATGGAAAAAGGGCTGTCCGGAAGGGACTTTGAGCTCTCCGATGCATTTTATTTCTCCAAGAAGGGGTTGGAAGCCATTGTGGAAGATGAAGTGACTCAGAGGTTCTCCTCAGAGGAGCTAGTGTCATGGAATCTCCTCACAAGGACCAATGTAAATTTTCAGTACATCAGTCTGAGGCTCACCATGGTGTGGGTGTTGGGAGTCATAGTACGCTACTGTGTTCTACTGCCTCTAAGGTAAGTCATCCGCTCAGCAATCAGATGGGTTTAAATGGTTCAGCCTCCTTTGAAAACCATGTTATGTTAATGACTACATGAGACTATTGTGGTACTACAATGAATTGACTTGTGTCCCTCCTCCCCCCTGTTGTTGTTAAGTGCCTTCGAGTCGATTCCGACCCGACCTGTTGTTGTTGTTATATGTCGTGGAGTCGGTTCCGACTCATAGTAACCCTGTACAATGTTTCCGAGGCTGTAAATCTTTACGGGAGCAGAAAGGCTCATCTTTCTCCCGCGGAACAGCTGGTAGTTTCAAACTGCTGACCTTGCGAATCTCAGTCCGATTCATAACCACTACATTGACCCGACCTATAGTGACCCTGTATAGGGTTTCCAAAGAGTGGCTGGTGAGCTTGAACCACCGACCTTGCAATTCAAATGACTTTGCAGTCTGAGGCATTAGCCCACAAGCACCACACCAGGACTCCCCCTACAACCCCCAAAATATGCAAATCCTTACCTATAGCCATAATCCCATTTGGGAGTTGTTTTCTTTGTTATGTTAATGAGGCTATATTAAAGGTAATAAGTGTTGTTGTTAAATGCAATGGAGTTGACTCCAACTCATAGAGTCTGTATAAGGTTTCTGACAAACTGCTGGTGGGTTTGAACTGCTGTCCATGAGGTTCAAACCAATCTTTCAGTCCAGTGCTTATCCTACAGTGCCACAGCAGAACGCTGTATTAAGTGTGTTGTTGTTATGTGCCGTGGAGTCGGTTCTGACTCATAGCGACCCTGTACAGGGTTTCCGAGGCTGTAAATCTTTATGGGAGCAGAAAGCCTCTTCTTCCTCCTGCCGAGAGGCTGGTAGTTTCCAACTGCTGACCTTGCGGTTCCCAGCCCGATTCGTAACCACTACACTACCAGAGCTCCTTTATGATTGGTCACTCTTATTTAAAGTTTTCCACCTGGGTCCCTTTCTGCTTCCAAGTTACAAGTACTCCTGATGAGGACGTTACCTCAAACTCAGGTGCAAACACAAGATGGAGCATAAAAATGTAGAAGTGACACTAGAAATGGAACGAAGCTGCAAGTGGCCAAGGTTTGCTCAGCATGTAGATTGCAACTAGTAGACCTGTGCACCAGCCACAACATTACTGTGGACCATCTTGCTTCATTTCTCTGGAGCCCGACACAGATTTAGAATTCTCTTGACATAGCCTTCTAGGAAGTTGTAAACAGCCAGTTAAAACTGGCACACAAATTGGAACCTCTTTCCCACCCCTGGAGTGGCACAGATTTGCCTCATGCACATTTCTTTCAAGGGAATGGATTGCTTAAGTGTAGACAAGTACAAATCTCTGTTTTCTTGTGCTCATGTTGCCAATGAACAGAAATTGGGGCATAGTGTGTCTTTTGGGAATCATTTCAGCAAAGTTAAATTCAGAGCTTCACATACACTTTTGCTTGAACGTTAAGCCAGTGCTCCCTAAGTAGGGTTCTTGTATTCTGGGAATATACAAGACTATCCATTGACATGCAGGAAGAAAATGCTAATGCTTCTGTTTATTAGAAACCTCTTCTAGTTATTCTATTTATAATCAGAGCTTCTCTTTATATATTGTTAAAACGTTTTATTGTGAATTGGGTAAAGATTTTACACTCAACAAATCATATGCATTTCATTTCATCTTATTGACTGTAATCCCTCACTTAACATCAATTATCCACTTCCTCCCTGTGGTTCTTTTTTCCATCCCTCATTTTTTCTCCAACCCTTCTGAACTTTGTCTTTGGGTAAATGCTGCCCTTTCAATCTCGAATGGTTGATCATTCTAAGGTGTATATATCTAGCGTGTATACCTCACTAGTACTATTGTTCCCTTTATGTTGTTAGGTGCCATTGAGTCGGTTCTGACTCATAGCGACCCTGTACAGGGTTTCCAAGGAGCAGCTGGTGAGCCTGAACTGCTGACCCTGCAGTTCAAACTGACCTTGCAGTTAAGTGCATTAACACTATGGTGTTGTTGTTAAGTGCCATTGAGTTGGTTCCAGTCAGTTGGCCAGGTAGTTGTCTTCCAAATTCCGTGGCATAGATGAATGAGTGTCCCCAGTGCCACATCAGTTTGTCAAAAGATTTCAATTTTAATTCCATCAATTCCTAGTGCTTTGTTCTTTGCCAATGCCTTCAGTGCACCTTGGACTTCTTCCTTCAGGATCATTGGTTCTTGATCATATGCTACCTCTTGAAATGGTTGAACATAGACTATTTCTTTTTGGTAGAGTGACTCTGTATATCCCTTCCATCTTCTTTTGATGCTTTCTACATCATTGAATATTTTGCCCATAGATAAGGAAATAGAGACATAATAAACAGCAGAGCTGGGTTTTGAACCCTGACAGCCTGGTTCCAGAATCCATGCTACTAACCAGCATGTTATTCTGTCTCCAAGTAGCTTGATTATCATTGTTTTACACAGTGTTGTTGTTTAAAGTGCTGTCAAGTGGATACCAACTCATACCAACCCTGTATAGGGTTTCCAAGGAGCCGTTGATGGGTTTGAACCATCAGCCCTGTGTTTAGCAGGCCAATGCTTATTCTACAGCACCACAACACGGTTCCTTTTACACAGTTGTTATTAAGTGTTGTCAAGTCTGTTGTGACCTACAGTAACACTGTATACAGTTTCTAAGGAGCAACTGGTAAGCTTGAACCCTCGATCTTGCAGTTCAAACTGACTTTGCAGTCCAGCACATTAACACACAGCACCATATCAGTAGTTTAGTATTATTTAATATAGGTAAGCAGCTTTAAGGGGTGAGCTCAATCTTGGAGAAAATCCCACTGATAAAAGATCTAAGCATGTAGCCTCAGTAAGTTTAGAAACACATATACCGATTAATGTACTGATATCATCTACACTATAAAACACTCACAACATAAAAATTCAATAAAAATGAAAAAATATTTTTAGAAGTATAAATAATCTTATTTTGATACATTAGATTTTAAAATCATATACATAAAAGGTACAAAAAAATCTTGACACTCACTAAAAATGCAATTAATATTTACTAAGAGCAAAGATTTTTGATTATGCTTCCTTAGAAACACCTTGCTAAGGTGTTAAATTTGTTAAAAACTTGATTTAATGATATTTCAAGGAATTTGAAGGTCCAATTATATTTTCTTCAGATGTTGTAATTTCATGTCAGTTACAAAAACTTGCCAATCTGCTCCCATAAATAGCAAAATATTAAAACACTCATTGCCATCAAGTCAATTCCAACTTGTAGAAACTCTACAGGACAGAGGAGAACTGTCCTCACAAGGTTTCCAAGGTTTCCATACACCTGCATGGAAGTAGATTGCATCTTCTTCCCATAGAGTGGCTGGTGGATTCAAACCTCTAACTTCTTGCATCTCAGTCAGGCACTTGACCACAGCACAAGTGAGCTCCTTTATAAAGATTCCAGCCTAGAAAATCGTATGAGGCAGTTCTATTCTGTTATATGAAATTGCTATGAGTTAAAAGCAGGTCAGTGACACCTAGTAACAACACAACACTGTTCAATCTCATGCATTAACTATGGAAAAGTTTCAAATGTCTCGTCTCCTTCCTTAATGAGAATCACTTGGTCCTATACAGTAAATCAAAAGGGATTATATTTGAACATATTTAACAATTGGGTCCAACATTACTGAAAGTTTTTATTTGCTAGATTAACGTGCCACAAATTTTGATGTCCCAGTGGAGATGATAAGAGTTCTCGGATGTGACACAAAAGCACAATCTCTTTAAGAGATTTACCGAAATACAATTCACAGACCACACAATTCACTCGTTTAAAGTATTTACTTTAATGATGTTTGGTATATTCACAGTTATTCAACCATCACCATTTTCAATTTTAGCACTATATGTGTTTGTTTGTTTTTTAATATTCACTTTGTAGGAATTGCTTCTTTTAGTTTCTTTATTTCTTTTTACCTTTTCATTGAGGAGTGTATACTGGCAGTAGGAGTTCCAATTCTGCCATTTTCTCTTGTTCTTGGATGCTTGCAATACTGGGGTTGGTTATCCTTATAAGAATGTTTTATATCACTTATCTTTTTGGTGTGGTACTGTGGGTTAATGTGCTGGACTTCAAAGTCCATTTGAACTGCAAGGTAGCGGTTCAAGCTCACCAGCCGCTCCTCGGAAACCCAATACAGGGTTGCTTTGAGTCAGAACAGACTCCATGGCATTAAACAACAACAACATATTGTTTCTGAAGATTAGTCTATTTTGAACTAGATAATTAGAACCACAACACTGTTTTCTGGGCCCCTAAAGTGTGGTGAAAGGTAGCCAACAACAAATGAAGGTATCTCAAGTACTCTGTGTTGTAGATTTCTCAGTCTTTCCTCAGGAGCCTGACCAAGTGAGAATGCAAGAGGTGTAACCCACATATTAAAGTTCACCAAAGTTTAATTTATTTTTAATAAAAACAGAATAGCACAGGCTGAATGGGAGTGGGAAGGAAAATGGGAGCATAGCCGTAAATGCCTGCAGATTAAAAAAAAATGTTTTATTGTGAATTATGTGATAGTTTACATGGGAGAACATTAGCTTTACATTCATTCTATCGTATATCGTTTCATTGCCATGGTTACAGTCTCCTCCATCCATCATCAACCAACCAAAGGGTGTACCCTGCAAGCCTGACTGCCCCTGCCCAGGTCATCAGCACACAGATCCTCTCCCTCTCTGAGTCTAGAGTCCCCAGCCACTCCATCTCTCCAGTCATCATCTCTGCCTCCATTTCTGGCATCACTGTTTCTCTGAGTAGAGTCCCGCACTCTGCTCCTCTCTCTTGATGGTCCCAGGGATCTCCGCTCCTGGACGACAAAGTCAACCACTCCCCTCCTTTTGCTACAAAACATCTACCTTTACATTTCCAACACTCACAGTCAGTCCTGATAGCAATTATTCACTATTGTATCACAAGAGACCTATCCCCATCTCCTTTCATCAGCCCCGCCCAGACAGATTGGATACTAATCAGTAGAAATTCTAGCTTCCTGTGTACCCTCTGGATCTAGGCTCCCTCTTGGAAACTTGGAAGCCAGTCACTTCTTGCCTTTGTAGCCCCCCATTTTGGATAGCCAATGTCCAAGTTGCCCATTCCTGTCTACTCTGTGTATGGAGGGGATGGGAATGATCCTCGCTGTAAAGATTTGTTCCTTCTTTTGATCTACTGTATTCTTAGGTGTAGGTCAAGTTCATCAAATTGTATCAGATTACTCTTTTTTTCCTCTTTTTTCTTCTTCTAGTTGAGCTCTGATCATCCAGCCATTGAAGCCAGGTCAAGTGGGTAATACATGTAGATTTGACAGGTTATTTGTACATAAGGATTTACCTTTGCTGCAAACATATCCATGAATGTGATGGGCATATAGGGGAAAAGCTATGAAAATGTCTTAGATATAACCAAACACCTTAAGGGAATAAGTCACTTGACCTGGAGGTTTAGGACTACGGTCTTGAGGGACCTCACAGACAATTAGCATAACATAGGCCAAAAAGATAATGTTCTAGATCCGACTCTGGATACTTAAGTGGTGACTGGGGTCTTAAAAGTTCAGGAGAAACCATCTAAGGAACAACTATTGTTCTCTCACCATCCTGAGCAAAGAAAAGTGCAGAAAATCAAAGATTCATTGAAGATTCATGAAAACAATTATTCTAATGGACTAATAAGGATTCCTGTGGTGGTGGTGTAGGATAAGCACTGGACCACAAGGTTGGTTTGAATTGCAAGATCAGTGGTTCAAACTCACCAGCTGCTCCTTGGAAATCCTATACAGGATCACCATGAGTCAGACCTGACTCAACGGCACATAACAACAGCAGCAATGGACTGATGGATCATGAGAACATCAGTCTCCATGACCCTGAGAACAGAAGAACTTAGATGGTGCCAGGCTACCACTACCCAGCTGTTTTGAAAGGGATCACATTAGAAGGTCCTGGGTAGAATAGGAGAAAATGTAGGACAAATTTAAAAATCATAAAAATGACCAGACTTACTGGTCAGATAAAGACTGCTGGAACCCTGAGACTATGGCCCTGGGTTACCCTTCAAGTCTGTGACTAAACTCACCCCATGGCTCAATTTATAGTCAAGCATTTAAATAGGTCTATAGGAGTCCAATAACCTCATATGCATGTGAAAGCTGGGCAGTGAATAAGGAAGACTGTAGAAGAATTGATGCTTTTGAGTTATGGTGTTGGAGGAGGATATTGAAAGTGCTATGGGCTGCCCATAGAACCAACAGATCTGTGTTAGAAGAAGTGCAATCAGAGTGCTCCTTGGAGACCAGGATGACCAAACTTCATTTCTCATACTTTGGACATATTGTCAGGAGGGACCAGTCGCTGGAGAAGGATATCATGTTTGGTAGGGTGGAGGGTCAGAGAAAAAGAGGAAGACCCCCAGCGAGATGGATTGGCCAAGTGGCAGCATCAGTGGGCTCAAGAGTGGAAACGATAGTGAGGTTGGCCCAGGATCGGGCAGTGTTTCGTTCTGCTGTGCATAAGGTGGTTATGAATCGGTACCGACTCGATGGCACCTAACAACAACAAATCTAGTAGTGTAAAAATAATTCAGAAAGGAAGAAGGGAAAGACTTACTTTTTATTTTATTGCCTTCACTATTCCTCTTTGGGACACCTGGTGTGGTGCTGTAGCATTAGCACTGGATTGTGAACTACAAGGTTGCCATTTCAAACCCACCAGCTGCTCCTCAGAAACCCTATACAGGGTCACTATGAGTCAAAACAGACCCGTCGGCACTTAACAACAGCAACAACATATGTATAGAAAAGGCCTGAAAATTTGTACACAAAACTGTCAAGTTCAGTCTTTGTAAGCACAAAAGGATAAAGAGGGAGTTTTGTTGTTGTTAAATGTCACACCATAAACTAGATAGATATATGTGTGTTTGTTATTTTGAAAATATTACATGTTCCATAGTGTTCCACAATCTATTTACTATTTCCTAACTTATGAACTTTTAGGTTATTTCATTTTCCCCTGCTGTACAACTAAGTTTTACATTCCTTTCTTGTTTCTTTTTCAGGGTTACCTTGGCTTTCATTGGGATTAGTTTACTTGTTATAGGAACTACGCTGGTTGGGCAACTGCCAGACAACAGGTAAAATGTTTCCTTTCATCCAGTCATAAGCATTACTTAGCTGTGTCAACACAGAGACTAATTGACCCCTACATATTACATTACATTTATGCCTTCAACTCACTTATTGGAATCCTGCTCACTTCACCTTCATAGAGTTTATTTAATTTTCCATTATACTTCAATGCAGATTGGAAGAGGCTGGTTATTTCAAAGGGGAAATGAAGAGAAGATAGGAAATGGACACAGGAGTCCAAGGGAAAGCAAGAGTCTTATAATATCATTCGGTTCATAATATTGGTAGGGTGGGAGCTACTTCCATTAGAGTGTTGTCCAAATCTCTTGATCAGCATCATTCATTTAATATTAAAGGTCTTAACGAGACTAGAATTGAGTGATGGATGTGTCTTAGAAGACAGTATGCTGCTATGATGGAGCACAGTGTATTGCTTGGTGTATTGCTTCTTAGGAGTGCCCAGAACTGCACAACAAAATGTTTTCTTTCTTTCCATCAGTCTCAAAACCTGGTTAAGTGAATTGGTCCACCTGACCTGCTGCCGGATCTGTGTGCGAGCCCTTTCGGGTACCATTCATTACCATAACAAGTGAGTGTGCTGGCCTCTAGGCTGGGACCTAGAGAGTGTGTCATTGACAGTACAGCCTAGAGAATGGGTGGGGAGGAAGCAAGTGGAGCAAGACACTTTCAGTATGATTATTTATCCTTCTTTGTGTCACGGATGTTTACAATGCACAAAAATCCAGTGGAAAATGCAGTCCGTTTGTAAAGGAATATAAAACTAATTCTTGCTGTCAAATCTGTTCTAATTCATGGTGACCCCATATGTCAGAGCAGAACTGTACTCCGTTGGGTTTTCAATGGCTGATTTTCAGAAACAGATCACAAGGCCTTCCTTCTGAGGTGCTCTGGGTAGATTTGAGCCTTCCACCTTTTTGTTAGCAGTGTATGTTAATCATTTGTATCACCCAGGAACTCCAAGTAACATGTTGTTGTTGTTAAGAGCTGTTGAATCGGTTTTGACTCATAGAGACCCCGTGTAGGGTTTCTGAGGAGTTGATGGAAAATTTAAGGTTCAAACTGGCTTTGCAGTCCAGCACATAATACTGCAGGTGCCACAGCAGGACTCCCAAGTAACATAATAACAATAAATATGTAAAACAAAAAACTAAGCCCACTTACGTTCAAATTGATTCCGACTCACAGAGATTAACTGATCACTATGCGCAGCCTGATTCGTAACCATTAGGCGAGGCTACCAGAGCTCCTTAGCTGGCCCATGCTGTTGTTGTTGTTAGGTCGATTCTGACCCATAGCGACCCTGTATCGGGTTCCAAGGAGAAGCTCACCAGCTGCTCCTTGGAAACCCCATACAGGGTCCCTATGGGTCGGAATCGACTCGACGGCACTTAACAACAACAACAACATGGGCCAGCTAAGGAGCTCTGGTAGCCCAATGGTTACGAATTGGGCTGCAAATCGCAAGGTCAGCAATTCGAAACTACCAGCTGTTCCGCTAGAGTAAGATGAGGCTTTCTGCTCCCATAAAGATTTACAGCCTCGGAAACCCTGTACAGGGTCGCTATGAGTTGGAACCAACTCCACAGCTCATAACCAACCAACCAACCATCAGCCAGCTAAGGAGCTCTGGTAGCGTAGTGGTTACGAATCTGGCTGCTAATCTCAGGATCAGCAGTTCAAAACTACTGTTCTGCGGAAGACAGATGAGGCCTTCTGCTCCCGTAAAAGTTTACAGCCTCAGAAACCCTGTATAGGGTCGCTATGAGTTGGAACTGACTCCCTAGCACATAACCACCACCATGGGCCAGCTGCTTCTCGGAAACTCTGTACAGGGTTGCTATGAGTTGGAACCAACTTGACAGCTCTTAACAACAACAACAGGACAGAAAAGGAACAAGGTGACTCGGCAGGATAAATAATGGACTGCTAATTACATATGTTGAGTCCAATAGCCACTCCATGGGAGAAAGACAAAGCTTTCTGTTGCACAGCCTCAAAAATCCTACCTATACAGGGTCACCATGAGCCGGAATTGACTTGAAGGCACTTAACAATACCGACATGGGGTAGAATAGAACTGTCCCACAATATTTGCTGGTGGCTGTCTGCCGTGGAGTCTGTTCCGACGCACAGCGACCCTGTACAGGGTTTCCGAGGCTGTAAATCTTTGCGGGAGCAGAACGCCTCATCTTTCTCCCCTGGAACAGCTGGTAGTTTTGAACTGCTGAACTTGCGGTTCGCAGCCCGATTCATAACCACTACACTACCAGAGCTCCTTCCCACAGTGTTTAAGAGGCTGTAAATCTTTAAAGAAGCAGAAGCAGATTGTCTTATCGTTCTTCCATGAAGTGGCAGGTAGGTTTGAACTACCAATCTTTCAGGTAGCAGCACAATACTTAACCACTGGACCACCAGGGCTTCTTGTAATGATGGTGGTGGTTATGTGCGTGGAGTTGGTTTGGGCTCATAGAGCGACCCTGCACAGTGTTTCCGATTATGGGAGCAGAAGGCCTCATCTTTCTCCTGAGGAACAGCTGGTAGTTTCGAACTGCTGACCTTGATGGTTGCAGCCTGATTTGTAACCACTACGCTACCAGAGCTCCTTGTAATAGCACTTAAAATAACTGAGCATTTAGATATGGAGTCCAGGTCCTGTGCTTCTCATGTACCATCCCGATGAAGTAGGGGCTTTGATCCCATTTTACAGTTGAAGAAATGGAAGGTCTGGGTTTGGTTCCACAAGATCACATAGTAGGTGTATTTGTTTCCTGGGTTGCTATAACAAAGTACCACAAATCGGGTGTCATAAAACAATAGAAATTTATCCACTGACAGTTTTGGAGACAAGAAATTTGAAGTCTTGGTTCCTCCAAAGGCCCTAAAGAAGAATCCTTCTTTGACTCTTCTGGCTTCTGTTGATTCCTGGCCATCACTAACTTCCTTGGCTCGCAGTTGTATCTCCCTAATCTCTGCTTTCATCTCTACACAGCCTTCATCCCTGTGTCTATTCTGTGTCCCTGCATCCAAGTCTCCCTTCCTCTCCTCTTATATAAACACAGTCATTGGATTTAGGGTCTGTCTTAATCCATAAAATCTCATTTTAACTTGATTACTTCTGAAAAAGCCCTATTTCCAAACAAGACCATATTCTTAGGTCCTAGGGGCTAGGATTTGAACATATGTTTTGGGGAAACACAATAAAGCCCACTACAAGGAGTAAGTGACAGAGTAGGTTTTGAACCTATCTGGCTTCAAAATGATGAACTTGACAGGCCTGTGTTGTTGTTATTAAGTGTCAAGTTGGTTCCAACTCAGCAACGCTGTCTAGGGTCTCTGAGGAGCAGCTGGTGGGTTTGAGCTGTTGAACTTGTGCTTCAAATTGACCTCATGGTCCAGTGCATTATCCTGCAGTGCCACACCAGGACCAGACTTGGAGTCTGGAGCACTGGCTTCTAACATCACAAATAAACAACTCAGAACAAGTATGCTGGGTTAAAAGGAACCCTGGTGGTGCAATGGTTAAGAGATTGGTTGCTAAATGAAATCATAGCAACTTGAACCCACCACTGGCTCCACAGGAGGGCAGACCTGGCAATTTGCTCCCATAAAGACTGTTGTTAAGTGCCGTCGAGTTGGTTCCCGCCCACAGCAACCCTATATAGAGTTGAGGAGTGGTTGGTGAGTTTGAACCGCCAACCTTGCGGTTCCAACCAATGTTCAGTGCATTAACCCACAGCACCACACCAGGATTCCAAAGATTACAGCCTATGAAATAGGGCAGTTCTACTCAGTCCTATGTGTCATAATTTACTTGAAGGCACATACAACAAAAACATGCAGGCTTATTGGTAAATTAGCAAATTGGGCAGCGCATCACTTTCTAACTAAATTGGTGCCCCAATTAATTCAGATTTTCAAAGTTCTCACATGTAATTTTATCAAGAACTTTGAAGAAAATAATTTGATTGGTTGGCACCTAACAACAACAACAACAAAGTGGGTGACTCATTGGGCTGCTAACTGTATGGGCAGCAGTTTGAATCTACCAGCTGCTCCTCTGAAGAAAGATGAGAATTTCTTCTGTAAAGATTGACAGCCTCAGAAACTCTATAGGGTCATTATGAGTCAAACCCCACTCAATGGCACACAGCAGCAGCAGCAGCAACAACAACAACCAAACATACAAGGACGCTTGAAATTCTAAAGTTACATGAATTTGTGGTTGCACTGTGAGTTTTGGAATGAGGAAAAGAAGAAAACGTTCTACTAGAGTTGTAATCAGAGGAGATACCTTCAGAAAAACAGGTTATTTATGTGAAAAGACATTCATAAGATAGAACCCTATAATTTTAAGGAAAATATGCTAAAGTCATTTGCATTTGGTTCCATTTCTTCTTTGAATAGTCAGAGAAACCAATCTGCTTCATTCGTGTTAAATACTGGCCTAACTCTAGGACAGGGTTGGCAAATTAAACCACAGCCTGTATGCCCTCTGGATCTAGGTTCCCTCTTGAAAGCTTCTCAGCCAGTCACTTCCTGACTTCGTAGCCCCCCACCCCCATTTTGGGTAGCCAATGTCCAAGTTGCCCATCCCTTTCTACTCTGTGTATGGAAGGGGTGGGTATGATCCTCGCTGTAAAGATTTGTTCTCTCTTTTGAGCTACTGCATCTATAAGTGTAGGTAAAGTTCATCAAATTGTATCAGATTACTCTTTTTTCCCTCTTCTTTCTTCTTCTAGTTGAGCTCTGATCATCCAGTAATTGAAGCCAGGTCAAGTGGGTATTATCTGCAAGTGTGGGTGTTATGCATATGCCCTCACTTCTTATCAGCTGGACGCTTCATTCTCCACTCTAGTACTCTGTGGCTATGTCACTGACTTTGGGCCGAAGAGTCCCCAGATTTTGCCACACTGCTGGCCAACCAGGTCTCCACCCAGATTCACAGGAGTCTTTTGAGCATTGTAGGGCTTAGCTCGCAGCTTCATTGCTGTTTTACCCTTACTTCCCCTTATCAGTGACAAGCGTGGTCACCAATCAGAGCATGTATTCCCATTGAGTCTCAGTCTTAGAAGGGGGTTTGCCCTGAGGGGACCCGACCACTTGCCTTGATGTCTCACGGGCGAGCAACTTGCTTGTTCTTGTAGTAGTCAGTTGGACTGCCTCTATTGTTTTGTATTTTTCCTGTCGGTTTTTCTTTCAAGAAATATCTTCAGTTCTTCTAGCCATTCCAGGCTGGTCTGCTTGTCCTTTCAAGTGGAAATTTCCCACCTCAGAAGACTCTGGATGTGGTTCAGAATTCCACCTATGGTTTTATGTAATGCAGAGGCTCCTCAGGAAGCTTCCTTCACTGGGCACATTGTAGCCCCATTTTAAGTATTCCAATCAGTTATAGGCAGAAGACGAATTTACAAGCTTTCTTTCTCTCCCCTGCAATTGTCTATTTTATAATGGTGTGCCAGGCAAACCAAGATTCAAAAGACAGCCAAGCATCTTAACATTATTTCCCCTCTTTCCCCCATTCCAACCATGTCTCAATCCCTGTATTCCAGAGCCCTGTTGTTCCAAGGTTGTGCATACATCATTATTTACCTCTGTCTTGCTTAGCCTATGCAAACCTGCCTAATTGTTTTGCAGTCTGCTTTGTTCTTCCATTTCTCCCCCTTTTGTGTATTGCCCCCCTCCCTAGCACCCAAACTATCCTGTGTCTATTCCGTACCCTGTGCTGCACGTTCCCCTTCCTCCCCTCACCCCACTCACAACATCTCAGTAACTAGCAAAGAATCTCCCCTACTCCCCCATTTAGTATGGGTTCTTTTTCTTAGTTTTTTACAGTAGTGGTCCTATGCAGTATTTCTCCTTTTGTGACTGACTCATTTCACTCAACATAATGTCTTCAAAGTTCATCCATGTTATGCACTGGCTTGCAGCTTCCTTGTTATTCTTCAAGGTAGCATAGTATATACTACAGTTTGTTTATCCATTCTTCAGTTGATGGGCACTTCTGTTGTCTCCATCTTTTTGCTATTGTACATAGTGCTGCTATGAACATTGGTGTGCATATATCTACTTGTGTTATGGTTCGTATTTCTCATGGGTAAATACCAACTAGAGGAATTACTGGATCATAAGATATTTCTATTTCCAAGCTTCTGAGGAAGCACCATATTGCTTTCCAGAGAGGTTGCACCATTTTCAATCCCACCAGCAATGCAAGAGCATCCCTGTGTCTCCACATCTCTGCCAGAATTTATTTTCCTCTACTTTTTTGATCTTTGCTGTTATTGTTGGTGTGAGATGATATCTCATTGTTGTTTTGATTTGCATCTCTCCAGTGGCTAGTGATCATAAACATTTCTTCATATGTTTATTGGCTGCCTGGATCTCCTCCTTGGTGAAGTGTCTGTTCATGTCCTGTGCCCACTTTTTAATTGTCTTTTTCTTGTAGAGGTGTTGTAGTTTCCTATATAGTTTAGAAATGAGTCCCTTGTCTGATGTGTCATTGCAAAAGATTTTTTCCCATTCTGTGGGTTACCTTTTTACTCTTCTTGTGAAGTCTTTTGATGCACATAAATTTTTAATTTTTAGTATGTCTGAATCATCTATTTTGTCTACTTTGGTTTGTGTGGTTTTCAAAATGTTTGGTAGTCTGTGTATTTCCTGAATTAGTGCCCTCACATTTGTCCCTATTTTTTCATTGATGCCTTCATAATTCTGGGATTCACATTTAGGTCTTTAATCCATGTTGAGTTGTTTTTTGTATAAGGCATGAGGTGAAGGTCTTGTTTCAGTCTTTTGCATATCACTTTCCAGTTCTGCCAGCACCATGTGTTGAAGAGACTATCACTTCCCCATGTGATATATTTAGGTACTTTGTCAAAAATCATTTGGCTGTATGTGGATGGGTTAATTTCTAGATTCTAAATTCTGTTCCATTGATCAATATATCTTTCATTGTACCAGTACCAAGCTGTTTTGACCACTGTAGCTATGTAATAAATTTTGAAGTCGGGGCACAGCCTGTTTTTTAAACAGGTTTTATCGGAACATACACATGTTCATTTGTTTACATATTGCCTATCACTTCCTATGTGCTACAACAGAGTTGATTAGTTGCTACAGGGGTCATCTGAACTGTAAAAGGTAAAATACTTCCTGTCTGACACTTGACAGAAAGGTTTACCCAGGAGTAAGAGGCTGGGAGGGCGAGAACTTTGATGAATTTACTCTCTGGGCCACCATGAATCCATTAGAAGTGATGCTTCTGAAGAATGAAAAATATTGAAAATACTTATGATAAAATAAGTAAAACTTTGTTTACAAAATTTGTTAACTAAAGATATAGAATATTTGTTGTTGTTAAGTACTTTTGAGTTGGTTCTGACCCATAGCAACCCTCTAAGGGTTTCCGAGGAGTTGCTGGTGAGTTTGAACCACTGACCTTGTGGTTCAAACTGACTTTGCAGTCAAGTGCTTATCTTACAGCACCATACCAGGACATCGGAATCTTTGTAATTATCTCTAATACTTATTTTTTCATTATAATAGGAATATGATCATTGCCAAAAAAAAAAAAATCCACAAATATACATAAAGGGAAAATCACTGTCCCCATCATATAAACTCTTACTCACTCCCCTTACTACCATATTGCCTAGAGACAACCATTCTTAGATTGTTGTTGTTGTTAATTACCTTTGAGTCAGTTCTGACCCATAGCAACCTGTATAGGGTTTCTGTGGAGTGACTGATAAGCTTGAATTGACTTTGTGGTTCAAATCAACTTTGCAGTCCAGTGCATTAACCACAGTGCCACATCAGGATTCTTAAGATGGACCCATATTACAAACTTAATTTTAAAGACAAACTAGGGTGAGTCTCTATAGGCTGTTCTATAAAGCCGTGACCATTTTTAGAAGTTTAGTATTTACAATTTTTGTACTTGCAGGCAATACAGACCCCAGAAGGGAGGCATTTGTGTTGCCAACCATACCTCTCCAATAGATGTTTTGATCTTGACAACAGATGGATGTTATGCTATGGTAAGCATGCTTTGTGGGTGGCTCAAGCTTAAGATATTTTGACACAAATTAGAAAGTTGATATCATATTAGAAAATGATTGGGTTGTAGCTATGTTTATGTATGTTATATGTTGACCTGAAGAATTCATATTGCATAAACAAGGAAAAGGAAATAGCCATTACATTTAAGGTAGTTAAAAATTAACTTACTGAAATATAGATGTATTTAAGTTGGACAGAACTCTGTAAAGTTGATGATTCTATCTGGCTTTTAAAAATGCTGCCAATGTTTAGTAACACTCTACAACTGTAATGTAAAAATTTTCCACCTGAGAGCTGTGCAAATCCCTCGGCAGGCCAGCTAGTTCTCTCTTTCTCTAGAGAGTTTATATGATTTAAAAAATATATGGCTCTTTAATGAGAGAGTCAAGCAGGAAAGGTAAATATTTGTGCCACATTGCATTTTTAAGTCCTTGTCTTGAGCACTCCCCCTCCCCGCACCTGGAAACAAAACAAAAGCCAAACAAACTACAAAACCAACAGTTAAACAAAAACCTCAAAAACCCTTTCATGAGGATGAACAAAAATCACACTCTGGCATTTTTCCGAATCCAGGTTTTCTCACGCCCTTAGAATTTGACAAGATTATCTGCATGGTTTTTTTGTGTCAAATAAATTTGGGAGTTTAACCAATGTCCTCTTCCCTCTGGTGGTTAATGCGCCTAAGTAGGTGTGTGGAATAGAATGAAGGAAGAGCGAAATAGGGGAAATTCTTCTCATGGTGGTAGGTGGGGCTTCTGGGAGAGCAAATGGTTTTATTTCACTTGCCAACTTCAGTGATTGGTAGTCATGGCCTGGTGTGCTTCCTTGAGAACCCTGATTCAGAGAGAAAGAGTTTTTATTGATTGTCTACTTAGATAGGAGAGGTCTTAATGTAACAGAAAGATTTAACACTCTTGACTGCTTTCTTTTCTTTTTTTTTTTTTTAAGGTTTTTATTGTGGATTGAGTGAAAGTTTACAGGGCACATCATCAGTTTCACATTCACCTATTCATATAACTTGTTTCATTACATTGATTATAATCCCCTCCATATGTTGTTGTTGTTGTTATGTGCCGTGGAGTCGGAACAATCCCCTCCATATACCATCAGTTAAAAGTATTTCTCTCTATCCACTTTAGCTTTTTTAAAAAACACACAAACAAAAAAACCCACTCAGGCATATATAATAAATTACATCT